CCTTTTTCTTCCTACTTTCGCGAATATATGGCTCCCTCAAATTATAGAAGACTACTTTTCGCGTCCTACCTAACATCATTTGAGTTGAATGTTTTACACCAAGAATAGTTCTCTTTCAAGGACTTTCATTCGCGAAATTATGGCTACAATCTCTCCAGACTCTGTATCTTCCTTTTTAGCAGTTTGCTCCCTTTCGTCTTCAACCTAAGTTCTACCGACTCTGTCAGTTTAACACTAATGCTCTGTTTATCCTTGTCCTTTTTCGACGTATTTGTGCTCTTTAGTTCCATTTTAAGGGTTAGCCTGTCAGCAGCACCTATATCATGCACCAGACGGAGGCAATCTAGCGCAAATGACTCGCACCGGTCACATACCCACCTCGGATTCTTGTTCTGAAGGTGTATGAGGTACTCTCTTTTTACTAAAAGTGAGCACTTTTGATAGTACCACTTTTTGCATCTATTGCACTGAATGCCGTCCGGTGCATACAGATTGCAACCAGTGGCACAACAATGACTTTCATTCTGTGAGAAAATCATTGATAAACTTGCGACAATTTCAAAAACACGGCCGGGGAAAATGGATACACGGGTAAATTAGCTAAAAGCGCTTTGGTGACACAGCTATAAAAACTAACAGCGATTCAAATACAACCTCTGTGAACCGTTAAAGGGTTCAACACTTGAAATAGCAAGCACCACAAGGTTTAGTGTTAAAAGTGTGAAATGTAGTGACCCAGTGGTAACGTTGGAAAGTTGATGAATGTCACAATTTGTCCTTGTTTAGTGCATTGATACGGATACTGAAATTTAAGACTTCATCCAGTTTGTGCTTGAAAGAATCAATTGTGGGCTCATCAACTTCGTGAGAAGGTAGATAATTCCAGACACCGCACATTGTGAGGGCAAATGAATGACATTGTTAGAGCACTAATTTGAATGAGTGCCCCTCAGGTGAGTGTTGAGCGACAAGGCGAACAGTTAGCCCCATGGGTGTTCACGGTTCTGTAGTATTTTAAACACCATAATCAAATATCCTCGAATGCGGCGATACTGTGTGGGAGGTGGTAACCCGGTTGTAACGTCACTAAATTATCACCCCGGGATGTGTGTTCGAATGCCATCACCACCGCCTGACTTTCCCCGTTGTCTATTGAATGGCAGCCCTTTTATCGGCCGCTTCTCCCTTCCTGAAAATTATACCATTAAATATTGAATGAAAGAAAGTAAAATAAGAATATAAAAACATAAAGAAAGTATTCAACGAAAAAATTTTATATACCCAGAGCAATTCGATAATTCAAACCACGCGCGAGCGTACCGCTTCAAAAAGGGTCAGGTCAGGTCAGGTTGCACAGAACTGAATACGGCCACAGCCAATCGAGCGTCCACAATTCCTTTGATGGTACGCTCACAACGTCAGCACCCAGCTCTGCTGAAATAAGAATGAGAAGTAGAATCTCATCTTCATTATCATCATCACCATCATCAGCATCTTCGAGTTGAGAAGGCGGAGGGGACGCGCCCCGTGTGAGCCCCTTTACCGCCGGTACCGATGACAACCCGATCAGTGATTTGCAAGCTGTCATCGTCTCACCAATTGCTCGTCGATACGGCGTTTGAAATGCGCCTCGTTCTGCTTCTCTATCACCTCCGACGGGAGTGAATTCCAGAGGGAAGTAGCCCTCCGAGAAAGGCGATAGACCAGAGGAAGCCCTGTCGACGCAAGCTTCCGGAGTGTGAGCCCGTGGCCGCGCTTCCGGTTGCAATCTCGCAGTGGAAACATGGCACGTAACTTGGGTCCCAGATCGCCAGGTAGAATCTTTCAAAGATAGATCAGATCCCCACGGAGTTACCTTTAGCTAACCGGGTACAGTTCCGTTGCATAGAGCCGACCTTCATAGCTGATTCCGCGAAGTTCCGCGACTAGACTGGTAGCGTAGCGCTTTACCCGCTCCAAGTTTGCCATTTCGGAAAGCGTGCAGGGTATACAGCAGGTCCACCGTATTCAAGCCGAGGGTGAACATGCGGAGCGAACAGCTTCTTGTAGGCCGTGAACGACAAGCAGTCAAGCAATCGACGGATGGCACCCCTCTCTCCTCCTCTTACCTTATTTCAGGTAACCTTCCTGTACAAACAGGACGTGGACTCACTCTGATTTCCCAACATCTTCCGCAGTGGAGCCTTGTCCGTACCCGGCTCACCAGGACAAAGGATCAAAAGAATCCTTAGAAACTACTAAGATCCCGGACCATTGGGTTTAGACTCGCACCCGTGTAATTCTTTAAGACTTAAAGATGGCACTTGCCGTAGAACATGCTCGCCCGGTGTTCATCTGTATCTTCATGGATGCGGAGATGAAAACTCCCAGATCCCTCGCGGTAGTCGTCGAACGCAATGGGATGTTGTTCACCAGATAGAGAATATCCAGTGTTGACAAAGAATTGAAAATTGTTTCTCGTAGCTTAGGTGAACTGAATTCCATTTCGTCTAGTCGCCGAGCTTGGCAATTTGTTTGCAAACGTTTCATCTCCAGCCGAGGTGACATCATCAGCACTGACGAGTGCACTGGAAGGTTTCAGACGTCAGCCCAGTGGTGCAACTTGTCCCAATCCTCTTGGAGGGCATGGTGATCCTCCGCTGTTCTCATGGCTCTTCACAGTTTCACATCATATGCATAGAGGAGGCAAGATAAGCTCAACTGGGAGGGTAGGTCATTCACAAACAGGAGAAACAGTAGAGGTCCCAGAACAGAACCCTGTGAGACTCCACTGGTGACGCGATAGCGACACGACTCCGTCTGGGCAACTCTGACAGTAAACGTCCTTTGGACGAGGAACTCCTCAATCCATGCTAAAACAGGGTCCGTGACGCCGTGAACCATCAGCTTCTCCAACAACCGTCCATGTGGCACTTCGTCAAATGCCCTACTGAAGTCAATAAAGATGACGTCCGTTTCGTGGCCGGCGGCCTTGGCAAACGCCGATAGCTCGAGACGCAAGATCACTGCGGACGGAACCCATTCGGCTCTGGACACAAGATCATTCGGTAGGAGGTGTTCTTGGGGTTGCCTGGCGAGTACACGTTCCATCATCTTGACGGCCACACAGATGAGACTGACCGGGCGGTAGTTGGCGGGGTCCCCACGGGCTCCTCTCTTGAAGAGAGGGCGAACAATTGCGGCTTTCCACTCGGCGAGCAACGTCCCCTCGGTCTGTGATTAGTCGAACAAGACGGTCAAGGTAGGTGCAATGACCGGTGCCAACTCCCTCAGCACGACGGGATACAGTCCGTTCAGACTCGGTGTCTGGTACGATTTCAGAGGCGAAAGCGCATCACACACCTCATCTACCGAGATGGTTTGCCAAGACAGCAGAGGCGTGGAGCACGACGATCGGGGCATCAGTGATGTATCGGTATCGTAGACAGATGCAAAGTGTTGTGCAGAAGTGTTATGTCTTGTGTCAAGACGATGTGATCAATACGTACGCCTCTTGTCTAGGCCCCAACAACTGGAGAAAGAACACTGCTGAGAAAACGACAGTCAGAGTGCATTCTTGATCATGAAACAACAAGCAAATATATGTGGTCAGTTGGGCGTATGCGAGCAGACGTGGTGACGCGCCAATCAGATCGTAACCTTGACACTCAGGTTGATTGACCGGACGACAGCTATTTGATTCGCCTTAGTCATCCAATCAGGAGTCGATTCGGCTTGGGCGTCACGATCGCACTTGTGGTGTGACGCGCGTCGCTGCGTAGCAGGACGGATTTTGTCCGCTGGGTCCTAACAAAAAGCTTCCACTTTGTCTGCCAGGGCACCGTTAATCTCCAACGATGGTGTGTCAGCCGTTGCACGCGTGCGACCGGATGTATGCATAGAAATGCTTCAGCAAAGAGGCGGCTTCGAATGCCAGGGTCTCCTTGTACACCCACAGTTTTCTGGATTGCATTTCAGAGCACGCATTACGCAGCATCTTGTATTGGTCATAGTTACATCCGTGAGCGTGAAACGCTTTCCACGCCATATTTCGACGTTGAGCATTATGACGAAATATTGAAAATCGGTTCTCGTAGCTCGGGTGAACTGAATTTCATTTCCTCTGGTCGCCGAGTTTGGCAATTTGTTTGCAAACATTTCATCACCAGCCGAGGTGACATCATCAGTGCTTGTGAAGTTGCAGTGTTCTGCCTGTTTCCGTTCGTTTATATATGCGTTCTTCTACACTGACTATTTTCGTCCCCTGTTCTTACTGTGTTCAACTCGGTCTGCCGTTGAATTGCTGCGAGCGAGTGGGGGTGGGAGGGATGCTGTCTTTTTGTCCCGTCTTATCCTGTGTTAGCCACGTTTCAGACATGACAATCACCTCAGCCTTTGTTCCCGCAGCCACTGTTGCCCACCTATTCCTTTTACTACATGCATTGGCTTGCAATGGTACCAATGCTTTCCTATCCCATTACAAGTGATGTTTGTTCACTCGGATTTTCTCTTCGAGCGTAACACCCGAGTGGGCAGCCCGTTTTCTCGCTCATCTATGGTGCCAGCTGCTACTGCGACCACCGTTTCCTCTAGCTCGGGGAGCTTGGAAACGTATACTGGTCCCGATGATAACATTGGCTGGCCGAATGCGGTATTATTTGACTCCATTTGAGTCTCATTTACTGACATGAGATGCTCCAAGATGTTCTCAATTACTACCACATCTGAGTTTGCTTAGATCAGTGGTGCCATAGACAGTTGCTTTTGCTTAGCCCAAATCTCTCTTCTCTTTCCGTAAGTTGACGGACTTCTATTCATTTCCCTGATTTGAAGTTCATCAGGGACTATTTTTTATATTGCCCTTTGGTGGCACTGCACACTAAGACTGCTCGGGATCCCTATCTGGCATTCTGGCAAACTCCAGCAGTATGAGTATAGCTGGTGTCAGTGGTGCTTCCGGGGGTGGTGTTTTCCACCTTCTTAATTCATAAGTTTGGCGGAGCCCAAGCTAACCTGAGTATGTCATGGACCCTACACCTGTCCATATCCCTACGGGCCTTTGATTCCCTTATATTCGGCTCCTGATTGTTAAGTAAAAGGAGGTTTCTGAGAAGTTCACTGGACGTAGCGGTGGCGTGCAAAGTTGTCCAGCCTCTTGAACTGATGGGCTCCGTGGATCCCTTGGTGATACCACAACACTGAGAGAAAAACTGTTCTTCAAATAAACAAATAAAACACAACGACCAGGAGAGACCCCCCTTCGTGGAGCTCCAGTCAGAGCGGATTTATCAAGAATGTTTTTGCATCTTGCAGACTCATAGGACGATCAGACCATCCACTGAGACTAAGAAGTTGATGTAAATAGATAGAGGTGTCCAACAGAGGTAGAGGATAGGTAAAGGATAAGCATAGAGTATTTGAGAGGTTGGGAGGAGAGTGAACAAAGAGGAGAAAGACGTGGATGGTGGAGATTTAGCAGTAAATGGATAGGGGTCCCGAGGCAGCTGTATCCAAACCGTTCAAGTGAATCCCCGCCCCACCCCCTAGAACACTCTGGTCCATACCATGTCTAGTCTGCGTTTGAAGCCTGCTGTCGAGTTGGTAGCAATGACTTCATCCGGTAATCTGTTCTAATCATTCACAACTCTTATTGCGAACGAGGACACTCTAAGCCGAGTCCTCACTCTATCTTTAACCAGTTTTAGAGCGTGTCCTCTCAGTTTAGTTGTTCCACTGAGCTTGGGCAGCCCTCCATCTGGTACGTCCATAAACCCTCTCAGGATTTTGTACGCTTCGATCAAGTCTCCCCGTTGCCTACGCCTGCTCAATGAGAAAAGGTTTAAGTCTTCGAGACGCCTCTCGTTAGATAGATGTCTAAAGCCCGCAGACCATTTTGTGCAGCGACGCTGCACTGTTTCTAGCGTTTTCATGTCCGGGATCAGAAACGGGCTCCAAGCCTGGACGCAGTATTCGGGGTGCGGGTGCACATAAGCCGTGTAGAGAGGGAGCAGGACTTCGGGTTTCCTGGAGCTTACCGCACGTCTTAGTTGGTGTAAGGCTCTGGATGCCCGGTTCGCTGCCACTCGGCACTGGAGTCCAGGATTGAAGTCCGCACTAACAACGACACCTAGGTCTCTGGCTATAGTTACCGTGGGTATCTGTTGGGACTGGTCCGAAGGTCCCAGTGTCCTGCCATCTTGCATGCCTCCAGTTCTGACCAGTTGTTGACAATTTAGGGTATTCAGAGGTAAGTCCCGTTTAACTGACCACGCATGTATTTTGTCAAGATCTCTCTGAATCGACTTTGTAGCGGACTCCCCGACGATTTTTACATCGTCTGCAAACTTGTAGCAGCGGTTTTCCCGGTCGGCGCTGAGGTCGGTGATGTGGAGCAGAAATAGTAGTGGACCTAGAGCAGAGCCTTGTGGCACTCCACTACATTCACAACAAACCACCGACCTGTCAAGCAGCTGCGTATCCAATCTAGGAGTCCCTCAGCAACCCGGAAGCCTTCAACTTCTACAGCAGTAGTCTATGATTGACGGAGTCGAACGCTTTCCGGAAGTCTAAGTAGCAGACCTCAACTTCCTTCCTCTGTCGATCATCTTAAATACTTCATCAAGAAAACAGAGGAGGTTTGACAGGCAAGACTTCCTCCATGTTGGTCAGCCGTCAATGCGCCTACGGTCACCACCTGTTCGGCGATCCTGGCGCGCAGTACTCTCTCCTCATGACTTTCAACACTACCGATGTCAGCTTGACTAGGCGATAGTTGGAGCACGACTTACGTTTTCCCCAATTGTAGATAGAGATGACTGTCGTCAGTAGCCAGTCCGTGGGTAGTTGATGTTGTGCTGTGGAGGCATTGAATAGTCTGACAAAGGGCTCAGCCAAGTGGTCAGCCAGTAGTCTCAGGATAGCAGGTTGAATGCCATCTGGCCCTGCAGCCTTAGTTGGAATGAGCTCCCTTAAGACCGGATGCATTTCAT